ACAACATAAAGACTTGTAAAAATATTGTTGTCTGAGCATTCTTCTGCACTTATTTTGTTGCTGCATTTATTCGTATGCCATAAGTTTTTGTTTCTTCCATTTCTTCTGGGATCTTTTTCTTCCGTGCAACCTCCTCTTGTGGCTTTGGAACAATTGATTCCTTTTCAGTGAGGGTCTTCTCAATGTGACAGGGGGAGCGCATGTACAGGTTAATCCCGCCTCGAGCTCTGAGTGTCAGCGTATCTCAGCTACTTTGTTCACCGGATATGTCCAGTGACTAGAGAAGCTACAGCTACACCCATAAGTTCAGCACTACTCTGTGCATTTTTATACTCAGCACTCTTTTTTTTTTTGTTCTTTTGGACACCAACCCTGCATCCAGCCCCACTGTTTGGCCTGGGCACGCCTACCGACTCCAGCACAGTGTTTCTTTAAAGTGACATCTCTCCAATATGCCAGTTGGTGGCATTTCGGATATGCACACTTTTGATGGCCTGGACAGTTTCATGGGTGTTCTTAAAGTGAACACAGAGGTTTGAACCACTTGATTTGCCTGATTTTTTTTGTAGTGTTTTCTGGGTCAAGAGAATAGCCAACCATCTTCACAGGTCACCTCAGGCCACTTCCAGGAAGAGCAAATACTGATTTTTTTAAAAGGACGATACTTCCAGGCTCCATGAAATGAAAGGACAATGTGGCTTTCCAGGTTGGTTCCTCAGGCACTGTGAACAAGACTCCTCCTGGCTGCTATTTGAGATGAGGTGAGAAATGAACCACAGGTTTCCAAGCACCAAAGATAAGCCTTCTTGCCCAATGAGTGGCCAGTCTTGCCTGTGTTTTCATCATCGGTGCAGTTTAACCCCCCCTGGAAGGTTGACCATTGTTCACCTCTCCCTTTATGCATTAACGTATGTCATTATTCACTCAGTTTCTCTTTGGTTTATCCATCAACTAGGACAACACTGGGGCCCACTGGAGAGATACAGAAAGAATGACCAGAAATTTCAGTCATGAGGTACAGGTGAAAAGAGAGATTTACACACCCATGAGCAATTGTAACGTATTGTGATGAGTACTGTAATTGAGGGACATGCAAGAGCTTTGGGTACTGGGGAAAATCTTCATATGGATTTTAGGAAGTTAGGAAAGCTTCCTCAAGTAATAAGATGGCCAACTAGCATCCTCAAGGGATGATGAAAAATCTCAGTCTGTGGAAACCAAAGACTCAAGAGCAGGATACATTTGGGAAATAGTCCGACAGTTAATACAGTTTGGAACAGTCGGGATGAAGAGCACAGGAGACAGGAAGAAACAGCGAAGGGCCCAAGCTATAGAAGGTCTTGAGTAAGAAATTAGATTTAGTAATGGTACTTGGGGATTTAATCAAGGAAGTAAGGGGTTTGCTATTTTAGAAATCTCTACCTATGGGGATGGGAGAAAGAGGACAAGTTTATAGGCAGAGAAACCATAAGGAGGCTGAGCAATTATCCAAAAGCCTTCTGGTGACAACCTGGACCTGGAAGCTCATTGAACTAGACCAGTGGGAGAGGTTTTATGGCAAAAGAATCTAGATGTGTCCATGGTTGAGACTAGAGGGGATCACCATTCTTTGAGATAAGGCTTTTGAGCTGTGGGGATGGGAGAAGTAGAGAGCTCGTCAACTCCCTACCATTTATAGGTCCTCTCCATCTGCTTCTCTTCCTCAGCTAAGCCAGTGATGAAATTGTACTTGGTGATAACTAAAACAAACGAACAAAAAAAATCATAATTCTCTGATGAGAACTGGTTGGGAGGGCATTGTCCTTTATCCTTTATCTACTCAATGAACCCCCCCTATAAATGAAGTGGCAGCTTTTCTGACCATGTAGGCTGTTCCTACTTGACTCATCTTTAAAGCATTCTTCACCCTTTAGCATCATCCAGGTGCCATAAGGGCAAGGACTTTGTCTATTCACTGCCACATGCCTGGCACCCAGAGTCGAGACTGATACATAAGCAGTGCACAATGACCATTTATTAAATGGACAAATGAGAACCTCTGTGTCCAGCTAAGAAGGGTAACCCTTGCAGGTAACTCAAAGAAATCACTACCTCTGCTCAGGCATCCAAGTGCCATGGCCATGAGCAATGGAATGATCAGTTGCTCTGAATCACAGAGACTCAGTGCGAGCCGTTGGTCTTTAGACAGGCTTGTCCCATTGTCCCATTCCTTCTGCAGCTGTGAGCTTGTACTGGGGACTGAAAAGTCTGTTTTTAAAAGGCCAGTTATACATAAAAAGTGACTGAAATAATACAGTTGCTTTCCATAAGAAAACCCCAAATTGAAAGCGCAATTGGCTATAGAAATACATCTGAGATGGTTGAAAGTAAAAAGACTGATAATATCAAGTGCTAGCAGGGGCATGGAGCAACTGGAACTCTCAGACATGGCTAATAGGAATATAAAATGATGCAACCACTTTGCAGCAATTTGGTATTTTCTTACATGTTTAAATATTCAATTGCCATTTCCACAAAAGTACAATTCCTGGATATTTTTCCAAAAAGTAAATCAAAACATATGTTCATATGAAAATTTATACATGTATGATCCTGAAAGCTTTATTTACAACAACCAAAAATGATTAATGACTCAAGTGCTTTTCAATTGATGGGTGAATTTTTAATATCATCTTTCCATAAAATAAAATACTATTAAATTTTAAAAAAGAAAAGAAAAGAAAAGAAAAAACTAGGGTTTTGAGAGCCAGCTCAGTGGAGTACTTGCACAAGAACAAGGACCTGAGTTTGATTCCCAAGACCTCTGTTTTTAAAAAACAAGCCTGGTACCAGTAGAAAGCTCTTGTAATCCCAGGGGTAAGGGGGTGGAGAGAGGTGGATCCCTGGAACTCACTGGCCACCCAGTCTACCTACTTAAGGAGTTCCAGACCAGTGAGAGACCCTGACTCAAAAGGGAAAAGGTGAACAGTGCCCAAGGAATGTATCCAAGGCTGCCCTTTGACCTCCACATATGCATGTACACCCACATACACATGTGCAGTCATACACAGGAGCATGGCACCTGGGTTGAGAGAGAGGGAGGGAGAGAGAGAGAAACTATGGATACTGGCTATTTGAAGGAGTACCAAAGCCATTGCATTAAGTAAGAAGAATACACACCTTATGACTTCTTTCCTAATGAAATACTAGACATGGGAGAGTGCCTCATAATATAAAGAGCTGATAGCTGCTGCTGAGGAGGGTGAACTACTAAAAGAAGGAACCAGGGAATTTGGAGAGTGGTGGAGCCTTCCATGAACAGAACGCAGCAGTGACGCCACAAGAACAGTATGTACAATCGTCAGGTTTCATGGGACTGGGCACCACAGTGGTAGCATCTAACAGTATGTAAGTTACATAGCAGTAAAATACACTGACCTATAGAAGCTTATGAAATTCTCAAAGAATACGTTTTGGGAGATTGTTTTTAATGAAACAGAAAAAAAAATAATAAAGGCAACACAGTAGAAACAGCAGCCTCCCGCTTGTGCTTGTGAATATGCTTGGGGGGGGGGGCTTCCTGAAACACTTGTCAGTAAAGAAACCTGAGCAGTCAGCTGACTACTTCTCCTCTCTGTGTTCCTATGGTGTGGATCCTTTTAAGAATCATTATCTGTTTATAGTCAGGAATATACATGCACACACACACACACACACACACACACACACACACACACACAAGAATTGTGGTGCACACCTTTAATCCCCGCACTAAGGAGACAGGGGTAGGCAGATCCAAATTCAAGGCCAGCCTGACCTACACAGGGAGTCCCAGACCTGCTAGGGCTACATAGTGAGACCCTGTCATCCCTCGCTTTCCTTTGTAAAAGTGGAAATAAATACTATTCTCTTGGTGCAAGAATGGATTTTATTTAACCCATGTGTCACTTGAAATCGTTCTTAACAAGGGGTTGAATCCACTATTACTTGAGCTTGAACTCCCCAGCGAGGCTCCTTCAGTACATGTGTCCTTTTCTTCCTCTCAGTAGAGTGAATGCAGCTGGGTCCAGGACACAAAAAGAAAAAGAAAGCCTGCCCCTCGGGAGGAAGCCAGGACCAGAACATGAGACTGAAGGAGGATCTGAGCCCCACACTAACATCCTCAGAAACTGCGCATCTACACAGTCTGGCTGCAGAAATCCCCGACATTCACAACCAACCTGGGATGGGTTTATAATGCCAGCCACATGAGAGTCTGAGGCAGGAGGATTACAAGTTGAAGGATAGCCAGGGCAACTTAGTGAGACCCTGTCTCACAATAAAAAAATAAAAGGGGGCCTTGGGATGCAGCCCAAGGGTAGAGGTTTTGCCTAGCCTGCAATTGAAGCTCTAAGTTCAATCTCCAGCATTGAAAAAAACAAATAAATAAAATAAAATAAAATAAAATAAAATAAAATAAAATAAAATAAAATAAAATAAAGCACCAACATTCTTTTACCGAAGCCTCCTCCTCTGACTTTGCCACAAGATTCAGGCCAAGCCTGAAGTTCTGCAAAACCACCCTAGAACCAGAAAACAGAAAATAGGCATGGATCCTGACTGGAATTAAATACAGTAAAATCAGCATTTACCTTGCAGCTTTTAGAAACACAGCCTTCAGGCATCCCAGGTCCTGGAGCTGATGGATACCACAGTTAATGGTGACACCCAGGTATTGGTCAAAGTCTCCCTAAGTGAAACTCACACTGCACACAGAGGCTTCTGTCTACAATCTACCTAAACCTCCACCTGCCAGGTAGAGAATTACCTGTGTTCCTGTTAAAAACACAGATCCCCAGGCCACACCCTGAAAGCATCCCTTATGTTTCAGGGAGGGCTCCAGAATCTACAGTTCTAACCAGCCTCCCAAGACCCTGCTGCAGGAGATCAGCAAAGTATATTGTGCAGTCCCTAGGTGGATGCCATCTTAAATCTTCCTAGTAGGCCCTGGGAGGGTTGAAGGAAGAGGCCAGAGGACTGAGAGGGTAGCCAGCATGCTTGAATTTATTAAAAGATTGACAATGTTTCAGAGGAGCAGAAAGCTGGGGTGAACCAACAGGTCCAAAGAGTAAGAGAATGTCTCATAGCTGCAAGGCATTTGACTCCATGCAAACAAAGCCTGGAACATTGAACTTGGTGACCACCTCATTGGAACCCAGCTTTTATTTCTTGCCAGGAAATGGCTCTTTGGTCCAGAATGCCTCAGACACCAGGGCAAGCTCTCCTCTCAGAAATAACATGACAGGCAGGTCACTGTCTTGGAGGTATGAAGGAGTCAGGAGATGAGGAGGTCTCCATCTGGAGTAGGCAGAGGGTGTCCCCAACACTGCCTCAGTTATAGGGGGGAAGGTCTTCATTTCGTTTCACACACAGGTGTAGGCTGACAGCACACTGGACCACAGCACCCGGAGGAGCCACAGCACCCGGAACCACAGCAGCTGCCTCCACAGCCCCCGCAGCCTCCTCCGCAGCCTCCTCCGCAGCCCCCGCAGCCAGATCCACAGCAGCTAGACCCGCAGCCAGACCCACAGCAGCCAGATCCGCAGCCAGAGCCTCCGCAGCCACAGCAGGAGCCGCAGCAGGAGCCGCAGCAGGACCCGCAGCAGCCACAGCAGCCCTGTTGACAGCAACACTCCTCACAACACTCTTGTTCCTGGGAGCAGCAATTGAGGCAGTCTCCCGGGCAGCACCCCATGGTCCCAGCCGGTCAGGTCGCAGGTCAGGAACACACGCGGCCGAGCTTCCCCTAGGTCTGACAGTGGCCAGCTGGACAGCAGCTTTTATATCCCCTCACCCAGGGGTGTTGGCACAGGGGACAGGATGTTTGCTTTGTTATTATTTATGCTGGTTTCCATAAGAACGTCTCATTAGCTGGCTGTTTATTTTCCAGCCGTGAGTACCTCAACTCATAAAAAAAAAAGCCCCACTCGTCCCAACTGCTATTTGTCCAGAGGGTAAAAATACATCTGGGAAAAGACCTGTCATTAGCCAGGTTGGAGAGAGGAAGGAGAAGCTGGCCAAAGAATCTGTTCTGGCTCCTCTCCCGAATCTTCTCTCACAGCAAAAAGGAGACTCCACTGGCCACATAGCCTGTTTTCATGGATGCTGACCCTAAGAAACTAGAAGAATAAGAACGGATGAGCCTTCTGTCCACAAGGAGGCTGTAGCCAAGGATCTGATGCTGTGGTCCCTCCCAGGTAGAATGGCATTCTCTCCCCAACCATGTGAGCAAAGCAAATATTTGTGTCTGTGTGAGGTATGTGGATGTGTGCTGCACATTTGTTTAGGCTTGGCAGGTGAGCATCAATCACGAGTAATAACTGACTTGTGAAATGCAGATAGACTCACCATAAAACTGCAGAAGGCTGGGGAGCCACATTCTCTCTGGGCTGCCATGGGCTGAACATTCACACTTCTCTCTACACAGGCAGGAAAGCTCGGAGCAGCACCTGCTACTCCCAGCCCCAGGCCTTTCCTTAATGGAAGATGGAGATGAGGAAGGGGAAGGAGGCAGGGAGAGAAAAGAAAGAAATGAGGTAAGGAAAGAAAATGAGGAGGGGAGGAAAGAAGGAAGGGGAAGGAGGAAATGAGAAAGGGAAAAAGGAGATGGAAGGAAGAAGGGAAAGAGGGAAAGAGGAGGAATGAGAGAAGGAAAGAGAGAGGGAAGGAAAGAAGGAAGGAGGGAGAGAGGGAAAGAGAAAAGGAAGGAGGAAGAGAGGGAAAGAAGGAGGGAGAGAAGAAAAGGAGGGAGAGAGGGAAGGAGAGGAGGAGGGAGGGAGAGAGAAATGAAGAGAGAAGTAAGAAGAGTGGAAAAGATGAACAGGAAAAAAGAGAGAAAAGATGGAAAGTGGGAAGAAAGGAAAAAGGGAGAAAGGAAGAAAATAGGAAGGTGGGGAAGAAAGAAAAAGGAAAGAGGGGGGAAGTAAAGGCAAAAAATGGGAAAGGAGAGGAGGAATGAAGGAAGGAAGGAGAGAGAATAAGGAAGAAAAAAGGAGAAAGTAAAGGAAGGGGAAGTGAGGGAGGAAGGGAAAAGGGAGGAAAGGGAAAGAGAGGAAGGAAGAAAAGGAGGAAGGGAAGGAGGAAGGAGAAGAGGAAAGAAGAAAGGAAGTAATGAAGAAAATGAGGAAAGAGGAAGAAGAAAGGGAGGGAAAGAGGGGGGAGAAAGGGAGAGACAATCACCGAAAACCAAAACATTTTATTAAAATTGGAACACTGAAGGGCTGGAGAGATGGCTCAGCACTTACAAACATTGGTTGCCTGAAACTTTCATAATGCCATTGTTTTTAACAGCTGAGTAATCCTCTACTGTGTAAATGTACCACATGTTCTTTATCCATTCCTTGAGTGAGGGACATCTAGGTTGTTTCCAGGTTCTGGCTTTTATAAATAAAGCTGCTATGAACATGGTTGAGGAAATATCCTTGTGGCATGATCGAGCATCCTTTGGGTACACAAAAGTGGTATAGCTGGGTCTTGTGGTAGATTGATTCTCAGTTTTCTGAGAAACTGCCATATTGATTTCCAAAGTAGCTGTACAAGTTTGCACTCCCACCAGCAGTGGAGGAATGTTCCCCTTGCTCCACATCCTCTCCAACATGAGCTGTCACTTGTGTTTTCTATCTTAGCCATTCTGACAGGTATAAGATGGAATCTCAGAGTCTTTTGGATTTGCATTTCCCTCATGGCTAAGGATGCTGAACATTTCTTCAAGTGTTTTTCGGCCATTCAAGATTCCCCTGTTGAGAATTCTCTATTTAGATCTGATTTTGAATGAGGTAACTCAGACCCAGAAAGATGAACTTGGCATGTACTCACTCATAAATGGATATTAGCTGTAAAATAAAGGAAAACTACACTACAATCCACAGACCCAGAGTGAACCAAGGAAGGTTCATAGGGGACATCCAGATCTCCCTGGAAAGTGAAACAGAATAGATTTCATGAGTGGACTGTGGGTGGGTGGGGATGGGAACATGAGCGATCAGGTTCAGGGGTGACTGAAATAGTCGGGGGGGGGGGGCATTCAGGGTCAGGTAAAAACCTGGTGCAAGAGAGCCTCCCAGAAATCTACAAGGATGACCCTAACCAAGACTCCTAGCAATAGGAGATATGTAGTGTGAACTGGCCATCTCCTGTGACCAGGCAAGACTTCAAGAAGGAGTAGGAAACCAACCCAACCACTTAACCTTTGACCTATAATCTGACTTGCCTATGGGATGTCCTGGGGTAAGGGTAGCCTAGAGATTGAAGGAGTAGCCAGTCAATGACAGGTCCAGTCTAAAACCCATATGCACTCCTGGAGAGTGAGTCCACCCCTGACACTGCCTGGAGCACCAGGACCCACAGACTGGATGATCCAGAGACCTAGGATAGAACCAAACACAGCTGGAGAAAAAAAGATGTCGATGTAGCCCGGCGGTGGTGGCGCACGCCTTTAATCCCAGTACTTGGGAGGCAGAGCCAGGCGGATCTCTGTGAGTTCGAGGCCAGCCTGGGCTACCAAGTGAGTTCCAGGAAAAGGCGCAAGCCTACACAGAGAAACCCTGTATCAAAAAACCAAAAAAAAAACCAAAAAACAAAAACAAAAATAAAAAAAACCAAAAAAGATATCAATGTAATGATGCCTAATGGTATTCTCTTATGCTCATAGATTGCTCCCTAGCCCAATTACCATCAGAGAAGCTTTATCCAGCAGCTGATCAAAAAAAATGCAGAGACTCAGAGCTGAACATTAGGTGGAGCTTGGAGAATCCTGCAGAAGAGGAGGAGGAAGGATTCTAGGAGCCAGAGGGGTCAAGGACACCAAAAGAAAATCCACAGAATCAACTAACCTGGGTTCATAGGGGCTCACAGAGACTGAAGCAACAACCAGGGAGCCTGCATGGGACTGACGTAGGCCCTCTGCACACATGTTACAGTTGTGTAGCTTGGTCTTTTTGTGGGATTCCAAACAGTGGGAGCAGGAACTGTCTCTGACTCTTTTACTGGCCTTAGGGACCCTATTCCTCATACTGTGTTGCTTTGCCCAGCCTTAATACATGGGGAGGTATTCAGTCTTACTACAACTTAATATGCCATGCTTTGTTGATATCCATGGGAGATTTGCCCTTTCCTGAACAGAAATGGAAGGGGAGTGGATTTGGTGGTGGAGGTAGTGGAAATGGGGAGGGATGGGAGGATAAGAGAGGAAACTGTAGCTGCGATGTAAAATAGATAGATAGATAGATAGATAGATAGATAGATAGATAGATAGATAGATAGAAAATAAATAAATAAATAAATAAATAAATAAATAAATAAATAAATAAATAAATAACACTGGTTGCTCTGGTAGAGAACCCAGCTTTAGTTCCCAGCACCCACATGGCAGTTCACAGCCATCTGCAACTCCAGTTCCAGAGGATCCAATACCCTTTTCTGACTTCCATGAGCACCCGGTACATGAGCACAGACCAAACACCCATATACATAAAATAAGTGAATCTATAAAAAATTAAAATTGGAATGTTAAATAAGTGGAAAGATTCAACTGCCGTCAGCATAGCTACAGATTTTGTGTAGTTATGCAGCATCTAGGCAACCAACCTCAGTTAAAATCTTCCCTGAGATTTGATTTCTTCTCATGGTTTTTCTTACTAAATTGAACTCTTAACTTAATTGAATGCTTGGTGTCAAGAAGAAAACAAAAAAAAAGTGGGAATGATGGAGAGCATCTGCCAGGATGTGGCATTAGAGTGAGACACCCCAGTGTCATCCCAGGGAATCGAATGTTTTGGGGAAGAGATGAGCATTCACAGATTAGGCTCCGAGGACAAGTTCTGAAATGTGTGAACATTCCTGTCTCCACTTTGAACCTTGGAACCTTGCCATGGTTTAGGGAAGACGGTGGCAACCCCAGAGCCAAGGGGCTGCAACCTCAGGAGCATAAGGGAACAGGGGTACAGATGGGAATCTGGGCCAAATAACACAGCCCCTCCCCTTTCCTTTGGAGATGAGCTGGAAGGGAGGCCATCTCTAAGAAAGGCTAGGCAGGCTCAGGACAGGGCAAAAGATGAACAAGAATGGGAAATGCACAACTTGGACCTGATGTGGATCCCAGTGTTTGACCCAATAGGAAGCCTGGGGTATGAGGAACCCCTGAACCGTCGCTGGACCCAGAGTTCCTAAGGCTCACATCAGAATCGCATCAGAATTACCTTGAGTGGTGACTTCCCAAAAACGTTTGATTCCCTGGGATGACACTGGGATATTCCACACTACTAATGCCACATCCTGGCAGATGTTCTATATCAACAGTTCTCAACTTTCCTAATGCTGCAATTCTTTATTTCAATACAGCTCTTCATGTTGTGGTGACCCCAATAAAAAAATTATTTTTATTGCTACTTCATAGCTGTAATTTTGCTACTGTTGTGAATCATAATGTAAATTTCTGATATGTAGAATATCTGATATGGGACCCCTGTGAAAAGGTCATTAGACCCCCCCCCCAAGGGGTTTGGATCCACAGGTTGAGAACCACTGCTCTGCTTCATTCCCATTTTTTTTTTTTACTTTTTTTTTCGAGACAGGGTTTCTCTGTGTAGCTTTGTGCCTTTCCTGGAACTCACTCTGTAGCCCAGGCTGGCCTTGAACTCACAGAAATCCACCTGCCTCTGCCTCCCGAGTGCTGGGATTAAAGGCGTTCACCACCACCGCCCGGCTCTTTTTTTTTTTTTTTTAATTAAGCATTCAGTTAAGTTAGGAATTATATA